GGTCCAAACTGCTGTGCAGATCACTCTATAACATTTCATTACATAGATCCCAGTATGATGTACCAAATGGAATACTTTGTTTATCATTTAAGACCGTATGGTGAAGAACATCACGACCATTAAAATGAATTATTATGAATATTACATGTAAATAATTTATAATTTTTCTGTCAATGTTGATAAAGATCTGGCAATATTTTATACAGCTAGAAAAAGTGCAAACAAACTCCTGTCCTACTGGATCATTTCGGAAATTCTGTTAACCATTTCAGCTGCTCTAGTAAATTATTGCGTCCTATAAAGCGTGGATTTCACTAGCGCATAAGCATAGCATAAGCACAAGCATGAGAATCATATGCTCCAGTGAGAACGGGCTCGACATAAGCAAAAGACATTTAGCATGCGCACAAGTGTATGATTTCGGTACCAGGCTATGCTTATGCATATGCAGTCCCGTTCTCACTGAGCATAAGCATGAGATAAGCACAAGAAGATATAGCCTCCGTAGCAGACGTTTTTAGCGGTTCGATTCTCTGCGGGAGAGAATCGAACTGCTAAGAACGTCTGCTACGGAGGCTAAAGAAGATCAAGCCTTGCTCRTTTTTCTTGTGCTCATGCTTATGCWTATTTTGAGCCCGTTCTCACTGGCACATGACTCTCGTGCTTTGTGCTTATGCCTATGCTTATGCGCTAGTGAAACCCACGCTTAAAACAAGCCAACTCAGTSCAGGAATAATAACTTGGGATTCCTGTGTCAGTTGAGGTAGAACCTGTAGGTGCCCCAAGATTTTCTAAAATGGTGGTAATTCTTATAAAGAAAGATTAAAGGGTGAAATAATTAATAAAGACAGGTAATACAAAACAAAATCAAATTCGTTTTTTATATCTTACACAAGCTTTGTTGTGACGGTATTCCTTTATAATCACGTGACGGCGGACTACCTTTGAAACTTGATTGGTCCTGTCAACAATCGAATCAAAAAACATTTATTAGTAGTCTACGGGTTATGATACTGTATCAGCATCTCATAAAACTCATGAAGTATCCGTGAGCAAAAAGTGCCATTACAATGATGTACAATAGTGGCTTACGGTATATMTTGACAAGTTTGGTTGTTACAATCTTGTTACAATCAGAGTTCTATCATGCCCAAGGTAAACAATGTAGATGTGAACAATTCTAACAATTTTTATTGTCGTAGTCTTCTTAATGTTTTCGATAGACTGCCATACGTTATTAGGTAACTATATCACCTGAAAGGATGATCTGTTACTCGTCAAATAACCAAAACTATTCATATTTTTTTTATTTAYGTCAATTGAGCGCTCAACGTGACCAGTGCTATGCTTGTATTTAATTTCCGGGTGMGATGAATTCCAGACCGGTCCAAAACTTGAATGCGTTTTAGAATCTTCAATCGGCATTTGAGTGSCCTCTCCTCTGTTATACATTTTACTGGCTTTTGCTTTCTTTTCATTTTTGAGATTGAGGAAGAAATGAACTTGAGTCATCTCGATAATTTCCGCTTCAGTCTTTCTTTTTTCTTCTGTTATTTGCATTCTTGTGYTCAATCATTCTCGGGGACACGGGCGTAAGAAGATCACGTCTGATGAAGGTGCTCAATTTTTTGTTCCTTCTACCGTTAATTTGTTTACTTTTTCCTCATTAATATGGATTTTTTTTATCATTAATTAATACGACTGGCATTTAATATCATATATAATGACAAAATAATCATCGTCTAAATTATGGTTTCTTTTATTTAAATTTAAGGCCAATCATCAGCTGTCAATATRACAATAAATATTTCAAGTASCATTATCACAAACACTGCAGCTACAACATCAACTATCCCAGGAATCATCCCAACCACTGTTACTAGTCTGCCATTAGCTACAGCGTCAATTAATAACACAACCAGTTCGCCGCCAAACAACACTGGTTAGTATATCCTTCTTTTGTTTGAACAATGTTTATAAACAAATATAAATATGCAACTGTGACACAGACATTGCCAGCATTTGAAGCCATTTTAAAAGAAGTGTCCATTTCTTACTAATTTCCTAATTMATTTTTTCACGATCTCACTTTGTTTTTTTCTAGTTCCTACAAAAGATCCAGGCAATGGAATTACAGAAAAGGCCACTTTTTTTCTTCTTATTGCGTGCTCAGCTTTGTTCATTATTATCATAATAATTCTTATTATTTTGGTGATACAGATGAAGAACTTGAGTAAGAAAATCAAAAAGTAGACTTTGCATTAGACATTGTTGAGACAACTTAAACATGGATAGGATTTAGTTATCAACTATTTAGTTAACAATAAGTTAAGAAATGCATTTCCACAAAGGGTTCAATTTTCTAGCAGTCCAGATTTGAAAAGAGCAGCAAGGCCAAAAACCATACCCTGGCCAGTGGCACGTTCCTGTATAGCAAATATATGGGAGGATTCACAGGCATTAACTGYACAAAACCCTTGCAAAAAGCATAAGACTGATCTTAAATCACAGACAACAAGGTCATTGAATTAAGGATAAACTGTACGAAATGAACGTTAAACCTATTAGGTAATGAGGGGCAACTCAGAAATAATCTTTTGCTCAGCTCTGCTAGGTGACATGGSAGCTTAATACCTTTTTAATATCATTCAGCTTTATTGTGTACATAACAGGTTTAATTTGAGCTTTTGAACTTTAGTCAATATTGCTTCCTATATGTAATTAGATGCTCTACAAAATCCCAATTACAATAGACTGTGTTATCAGTGAAAGAAGTGCATATTTTCAGATCTGCAAAGATAGTATTATTTGACAACTAAACTTTGAGGACTATGCTGTTTGCTGCAACTAAATCAAATAATTTATTTTTCGAATTTAAATTTATCAGGAAGGATTGACCCTTAGTACTATGTACATAGACTTTTTAGAATTATTTTTGTATAAAATAAAACACAAGTCAACTTCACAATAAAATGCTGTTTTGACATCAGTGTTGCAGTGTGTAGTTTGATCCACAACACTTCATAATACAACATACAATATACTGTCAGTTGCTTGTTGTGCCTTTGAAATGGATTTTCATTAAAAGAAAGATAACATCCAAGTGTGATTTAAACAGKCAAAAACAATTATGAACAAACACATTGGTAAATTCAAACTCCAAAAAATGCTAGTTGCTTCTGTAAGCTACAAGTTTACGGACAGCTTCAACTTGTTCTTCACTTAATCCAAGTTTCTCTGCCTCTGCATCAAACTTCTGCAAGTTAGAATATCCACCCAAGTAGCCATTGAGTCTAGTTGCAATGTAAGAATTCTTGAGCTCTTCGTTATTTAGACTTAGACTTGCTAGCACATTGGGACTTTGCCTCAGTAAGTATTTCTGGTGGTAACTACAAATACAATGTTATTACATGTCAAAAACAYTGAGATAATGGACGGTCCAAAGGAAATGATGAATTATGAATTGCATTGGTCTAGAGAGGTATGTATAATCACAAGTTAACATACTTTTCTGCATCATAGAATGTTTCTGCAGGCAGGATCTTTGTTACAATTGGAGCCTTGACTTTCTTTTGGTGGTCTGCTTTTGTCAATTCAGCTTCTTGTTTCTGTTCTTCATCATGATAAAAGATTGCTGACATATACTGATTCTTTTGGCATGTTGTTGTGTTGTGATTTGCCCAAAAASATGCTAGAAGGTTTCTGTAAGTTGTCTGATCTGGGTTATATTCCAGTTGGACTGTTTCTGTATGGTCCCCACTGCAACAAAATGATTTTTGAAATTGAACACTTTAATCAATTCAATTTGGGTTAAAACTGTACATAAATTGTTATAAGCTGTTATACGCAGCAAACACTTCATCATAGAATAGTGCTATTTACATGTATCATCAAAATCAATATAAAATAATCCAATTCAGAAATTCACACTTTCCTGCATACGTCAGGATAAAAACTGAATTAGAATAAAAAAAGAGTAATGAAGCGAAATGATTATTCCTTTATTTACACATGTGAAACATTCAGTTTTAGCCAAACACACGCATCTATTTAGAACTACGTTGTTTAAATTCCGATAAGGCTTATCATGTTACTTGATTAGACATGGAATGCTATTTTCTTATGATGGGATCCCTGTGTACTATAATGCAAAAAATAATCCTGTTACTGCTGCTCAGGTTTYTGCACACAATTTCTTTTATATATATAAATGTTCAATCATATAAATGATACATTCAATCATATAAAGAATTTGGTGTACGACTATTTTAGGTTTTTATGTTGTAATAATATGAATAGTTACGTCATAGCTAATAAACTTATGCACACGTTTTAAATTAGTTTCATTTCTAGTCCGAAACAAATAAGTAAACTCATTGAACACACTCAATATCATCATAAGTTAAACAAATCTTACAGGCTGTGGTACGTTGGATTAGGCTTTTTACCGCCCGTGTAACCAACTTTAGTTCGGACGACGCCATCAGCACATCCGAACTGTGCCTCGGGGAACCAAAATCAGCTCATTGCAAAAGTTGCTGTCTTCGTCTTGACGTCCTTCATGSTGACCAGCGAAGGACGATGAATTCCTAACGGTAAAGCACTTGAATTYCCCGTGATTGTAGTTCGCAAAGACCTAAAAAATGACCCTAAAACGCTAACACTTCTTGACATGAGTAACTATATTCTTGGTTTGTTATGTAATGGTTATCATGTGTGGTCATGTGACCTCTTGTACCCAGTACTTTTTGAGATCAAYAAAGAAAGGGAGAAAACAAAGGAAAGAAAATATATTTGCATACAGTATTTTCAGAAAACGCCGAATACTGACTAACGGAATAGGGAATTCCAAGACTATTCTATTGTCGTTCAAAAGGAGTTTTTGAGGTCCAAAAGTTGTTTTACCCCATTCCTCATAGTCCAGAACTTCAATGGAAGGAAATCAAGTTTAAAATTATCAGATTGTAACGCGGCTAACATGCACTTTAATAGCAACAATGCATTGCTGTCTTGGAACGCGCTTTATCGCACTATTCCCGTTCTTTCAAGCAAGCTTTTTACAAACTTAAGAAAAATAAATTTTTCCCTGTACTACCGCACCTTCAAAAAAACAACAACACATATTCCTACGATTCTTAAATCTGGATTTTTTTTCCATAAATATCCCGGCGCCATAAATATCCCGGCGGGTATGTATTCCGCGCAAAACTTKAACGATCAATCCCACAGTCCTCTAGTATAGACTTGTTTTTTTTTTTTTACCTTGAGTATATGATGAAATAGATAGCCCGGTAAAACTTGYTTAAAACCTGATTACAAGTTATAATCCCTTGCACCCAAACCAGTAAGACCCGTGAACAAAAATATGGAAATCTTTACAATATAGGGATACGGTCTATAATAGCTCTGCTGTCCGACAGAACTTTTACAGCATGGTAGAAAACCTTTTTTACTTTGTGAATTTCTTGTCCCCTTTGTTTTGAAGAAGAACTAGCCGCAAAACGAGTTTAAACGAGAGGTGAAGTCTCACGAAGAATAAACAGAGGTTCGAAAYGGTCCAATCAAAGATGAGTTTTAATTAAATAGTTACTCAATACAAATCAGGCGATAAAAACATATTCTAGTTAAACCGGAAGGTCCAACCGGAATGTAGATCATCTAGTATAAGATGCTTTGTGTTCCAGTCTCGTCGAACACAAGGTTAACGTACTTTCCTGGTTAGATAGACTCCTGMGGACAGTATATTGTGACACTCTTTTCACTCGAAATACTCTATTCACTATGAAGGGCATCATTACTGGTGGTACTCGTGGGTTGGGATTCAACATCGCTGAAGATATGGCCAAAGAAGGTTACACTCATCTCATCCTCACGTACAACTCCAACGACGAAGCGGCGCAAAACGCTAAGACAGCACTGGAAAGCAAATACCCTGTYAAAGTGTCGGTGCTTAAAGGAGACATTGGACAAGAGACGACCATAGATGAAATTTTTGAGCATGCTAAAGAAGCTTTCGATGGAGTCCTAAACGCTTTCGTGCATAATGCTGGAGCCGCAGTTGGAATTACCTCAGGAGCCGAGACAGAAGATGCAAGAAAAGCTGCACAGAGCTACAAAGACAATATCGGAAGTGGGGAGTTCAAAAATTTCTCGACCTACGACTATTTTCAGAATATTTAYCCGAAATGTTTTATTCGCTGCGTAGAACAAGCAGTGAAAATGATGGAAGATGGAAAAGGTTTCATCATTGCCGTGTCTACCTATGGGTCCAATGTGTTACAAACCCCGAAACCTGGTTACGCAATTACAGCACAGGCTAAGGGCTGTATGGAACTTTTGGTGAGTTGAGAATGTAAACCATTTGTTATTCACGTCACACGAGGAATCTCGAATAACCGCGGAGACGCCGTCAGACCAACTTAAAAACCAGTTTTAGGGTCAGCTGTATCAAACCAGTTTAACTAGTTTACAGTTAGTACTTTTACTGAGATACTGTACCGCAAGGTCTGACGTATTTGATTGATAGCGAATCGAAGCAATTTAGAAGTGGCGAGGTTAGAGCCGYAAAAGCAGTTCCAGGACTATATCACCGAAAGAACTTTGAAAATCGATTTCTAATACGAGTTTGTAACAGGTCCGTAGGCTGGGGGGATTCGGGGAGTTCGGTCGAAACCCCTTAAAAGCTCCGGTGTTTCTYTTTTTTTATTGTTTAATTTTAATTTTTTTTTTGTTATAAACTGTTTTTGAGATAGTAATTTGTATGAACTGCTGATACTAGCAGTCACGGTTCTTACACACTATTCGTATTAAGAAAAAACGAACCCCCTCCCCCCATTTGTAAGACAGCCTGCGGGCCTGAATTTAGTCTCGAACACTACAACATGCTWCAAATTTAGTAACCTCGACACGGGTCAAGATAGAAATACAGACAGATAGCATTAGAAACTAAAAAGGGGGAACGGGGAAGAACGGGGTGGAATGGACTATGGATATGAACTGTGAATGGGGATGATACAAAGGGCGTTTAGTGGGCGACCTTCGACTTTATGCCGGGGTGAAGTCGTTATGAGGGTATTCAGTAATGTACTATTTCACGACAGGTGTTATAAAAGATAGCGATGGAAAAAGTCAGTAAATTATAGAATAGGAGATAGTAGACTGATACGAATCATGTGGTAATACCGCTTCGTTACTTATTGAATAGTGTACAAGAGGGGTAAGAACCGTGGTAAGAACTGTCGTATACTAACAGAGATTTTTACAAAAACAGAAGAAAGAGGAAGAACTTATTTATTTATCTATCCATTACTTATTTATTTATTTATTTATTTATTAGAACCTATTTATTTATCTATGTTTTCGTCATCATTATGACTGATATTTAATAAAAATGATAACACTGATATATAGTACACAGCTATTATTAGAGATAATTGAAGGTTATTGCTTTCCGTCACGTTAGGTCCGTTACTATGCCCAGGCTCTAGCCCCACGTGGTATAACTGTTAACGCTGTCATCCCAGGTTATGTTATGTCTGATGCTTGGCACAACATGACTAAATCCATTGGTGGTATTGAATCAGAAGCTGTCAAAAAGAGAATCCAGGGGACCCCTATGAGGCGATTTGGTGAGGGTCGTGAGTTCAGTCAAGTAGTTTCCTTCCTGTGTTCTCCAAGGGCGAGTTTCATCACCGGGGTGGCCCTCCCTGTCGATGGGGGTCTTCATCTGCAGTAGACTTGTGGGGAGGCTAGGGTGGTCTCTAATTATCGTGTTTTGCATGGGAGTAATTAGGGTTATAACTACATCAGGCTGAAACACTGATACGTCGTTTGAATAGCTTATCTTCTTTCATTTTTTTTTTTCAAGCGGTTTTAGTTTTTGTGTCCAGAGAGTAAAAGAGAGCACATGAATTTATTGCTCTAGAATATATCGTATTTTAGCTAAGAGCTGCATGTGAACGAAGACAAGTTTATAAAAGACGGAACGCATTAGTGTGAACAAGCCTGACAGTGCACAAAATATATCCATGAAATATCTGCTAACTTGTTAGCCCGTATAATATCATTAGAGTTAGAGTAATTGTCAGAAATTTCGTTGGCTTCTTCCTTTACTATGACTAACAAAAAAGATAGTCTTTTTCTTTCTTATTTCACGGAAGTAAAAAATGTTATTTCACGGATATATGGCATGCACAAGTATCTGAGAAACAGCAGTAATAATATGTGTAAAATTGGGGATTTTCAATGTGAATAAAGTGCAAATGACAAGAAAATGCCTCAAMCTCTGTGATTGTATCAAACTTATAAATGTATAAATAGCAATTTTGAATAATCGGATGACAAACATAGTCTACGATATTGTAGCCTCTACTCACCGAAGTTTTACTTCACACGAAGGARAAAAAATCGAAAATGAATACCTAAATCCAAACTATTTGTGAAATTAATTGCGCTTTTGGTCATGAATGTAGAAAAAAAAAAGGAATCAAAAGAAATTTGAAAAAAAAAGCGAAAAGAAATCCTCTCCCCGGCGGGGAATCGAACCCCGGTCTCCCGCGTGACAGGCGGGGATACTCACCACTATACTACCGAGGATTTCATACGATGTGTAGAGAAATTTACAAGATTTATTGCTATTTATTGAAATTGTTAATTAAYATACAACCAATACCAATTCAGGGGATAAATATTACTTACAGTCATAAAGTACTTTGGATTTAGGCACCAAAACTCTGTTAACTGAAGTGCTTTGAATAAATACAATAAAGTCCTTTGTTGTTTGTGGATTTAGGGTGGACGGGTGAATATTCCAATCTTGCGTACCTTTTTTCAATCCCACCATCATTCTGGCTGCTTCTCCCTTGTAAATCATTCCACTATCCTTTTCTTTCAGTACAATTTGTTTTTTAAAACTAATAGTTTCAGTTTTTGTATGCTGGTAATAAGCTTTCCCTACGACGTAGCTAAGTCCCTTGCTATCTATGAAGTTTTTAATCGAAATGCGCTGTTTTACTTCAAACTCACTAAACCTTTCACAACAGGGTACAAGGTCTTTCTTTAGCTGTTCAAATGAAGGTAAAGTTTGCTCTTTTGGCTTGGGTCTTGAGTATAATTTACCGCAAACCAACTGCGTGAACCTTGCTTTCCAGTTTTCAGCTCTACCAAGATGACAAGGGCGCTTGTGCTTCGAGCAAAATATCTGACAGTGCGATTTCCACAAGTGATTGAGAAGAGAAACTTCATACCACTCTTGACAAACTTGACTAGAGATACATAATGATTTCACATCGAGGAAGCTAAAAATATGCTGCAAAACGTCCTGTCCTAACATKTTTGAAAGTTTGCGCCAATTTTTTCTTTGACGCCCGTCATACYATGCTCAGCGGATTCAWTTCAAAATGGCGGACGGAACTGGGAGGTGGTGAATAGAACTTGTATTTTGCCTCAAATAACTACGGCAAACTCCTCAATTTGATGGTATAAAAAACAGACATGGAAAACGAGGTCATAAGCAAGACTGGTGGCCAGGTAGACGGTAAGTTTGTAGCATTCCTTTATCATAAATCAAAGTCCCAAAATCTCGTGCCATTCCTTGCAAAGATTTTGACAGTYTCGTAACAGTTTATCATCTTTAACTTATATTGTTGTAGAATTATGAATAGCCATAAAAATACAATAATAACTTTGAAAAAAATAGTATTGTTAGATTCTTGTGAATGAATTGAAAGAAGACGGAAGAACTCATAGTCGGAACTACTGAACTTTGTAGGTCACGAGACCTGAGATACTGCCGTTTTCCAGATATTTACTGCGTGTCATCATTACTGTTTTTGTACTAAATTGTGCTGGCATTTTTKTAATATTGTGAGTATAGGACGAATATATTTGTGTAGACATGGATTTCAGGCATTTCTTCTTCTTTGTTTTTTTTTTAATCTTTCAAGTATTTGTCAAACCTTCACATAAGTTAATAAAGTAAAAAAATGTCATCAAAGGTTAGACTAAAGAATACTCAGGCACAATAAAAGTATAGTGTTCAGCTACACTACCACCATTCTGTATATGTCTTTGCAATGCCAGACTAGCAGTAGCTCTTAAATCTAATGTTAAAGTCCTGATGGTTATAGAATAAATATGGACAATAAACCTATGTAGCTAATCCAGGATTGTGACTGCACTAAATATGTTATCCTCAAAGTATCCAGGGATTATATTAAGGCATTATCCACAAGTCTATGCACACAATATAGGCTTTGTATAATTCAGCAAGAAATTTTCCTGACTATTTGTTTACAATTTCYACGGTCATCTACAAACAGCATAATTCCCTCTATTCATCTACTCCTTTTCTAAACGGACTGAATCAACTTTTTATCTTGCTGTGAAAATGGCTGCATATTAGTTTCTTCCTCTCAAAGTCATGTTGATAACACAGCATAACATGAAGTTGCTTATTAAAGAGATCATGCAACAGCACTCTACTACCAAGAGATATTGTTGTATTTTAACATAGTGTATTGTTTTAATTTTAGATCTTTGCATGGCCTTGGTTGACGCTGCAAATGACAAACAAAATGATGTCAGAGAGGTTGTTATCATGGCACTTCATGACATTGGTAAAAAACAACCTGACATGGTATTGACCACAATAAAAGTATTTCTTGTTAAACATCAAAAGGTACAGTTACTGTTTTGTTTTTTGGTTKAAAATGCAATGACAATTTCATTAAGGATCAAGTGTTGCATTTAAACTAAAGAGATTTCCAAGCCATTTAATTAATTAATAATTTAATTTGAATTCTTACTAATTGTAAATTTGTTGAATTTGTGATGACTWTAAGGTTATTTATTGCTTTTCAATTATTGTTTGTTTACATTTTTTTAGTTGAGTCTTGGGCACAGGGTTGCTCTTCTCAAAGCTGCATCTAAGATCATCACAGATTCTCTTGAAAACCTTGATTTAAATTTGAGTAAAMAGATGGTTAAACTAGCATCAAGTGAGATGACAAAAACTAAGGTATGTGTAGTTGCTCTCTTCTTCTGATTTTCCAATTAAATCCCATCATCTTCTTTGCATTTTCTTTCATTTGTAATTTCCATTTTTTGTCCATTTAATCTTTTYTGTTTCATTTTCATTACCAGGAAGTAGAGCCAGAGTGGCAGACTGCAGCTTCTGAAGTTCTTGTAGCTCTTGGAAGAAGATTTGATCATGAAGTCATGGCAGATCTTTTAGACAAGCTGGCACCTGGCGTCCTACCACATTATTTTGTGATTCACACTCTTGCTTCACTTTCTATGGCAAATGGTAAAATAGAAGTTATAATTTTTAAAAATAACACAACACTTTTAAATTTCAAAGACATGTTTCGACTTTCATAAAGCCATCTTCAGTTTGAATGTGATTACATTTTACAATCAGTTACAGCCTTTTGCACAAATTATGAGACATTTWTATATATATAAATATACCTAACCAAATATCAAAAACACCCAAGAAATTATGGGATACCGTCGCTGATTTTTTGTCTGTAACAACCTGATGCTAGGCAATCATGACAAAATATAATAGAGATATACCATAATTTCTGGGGTGTTTTTGATATTTGGTTAGGTATATTTATATATATAAAAATTTCTCATAATTTGTGCAAAAGGCTGTATATAGTAGTAATAGATAATATGATTAAATTACAACGGTCAAAAGTAAACTAAAACAAGAGATGAGATGTAATCACATTCAAACTGAGGATGGCTTTATGAAAGTCGAAACATGTCTTTGAAATTTAAAAGTGTTGTGTTATTTTTAAAAATTATTGCATCACTTGTGCTTTTACGCTCACTTTAAAATAGAAGTTGTATTGCATGTACTTTATTGCAAGTTTAAACTAGTTTTAAGTTCCAATGAATTTATGATTGATAAATGATTATTACTATTTATTGTCTTTTGAAGCATATGGTGTAGTTCCGTTTCTAAAGGACATTCTTGGACGACTGCTACCATTGCTRGGGATGGCTAAACAGGACAACATGAAATGGGTCTTTGCAAACTGTAAKTAATTTTTGTTGGATTTCAGATGCTGTACATGCAATTATATGCTATCTGTCAGCAGACATCAGAGCACTTTACAAGTTATTAAATTTATTTTTTATATGTATTTTGTTTTTTCTCTTTTCTTTAGCATTATCATTATGTAAAACAAATCTTTGGAATCTAAACTGCTATACTTCATTCTCTTTGTATGTTATTATTTGTATCAATTTTTCTCTTTGTTTCAGGTCTAGGGAGGTTTTCAGAAAGTATTCTTGAGTATATAGCTAATGCAGAAAATGCTCCATATCCAGACATTACTATAGACAGGTTTTATGGTGAGATCTACTCAGCTTTTGAYGTGCTGTTCAATGTCTGGCTCAAGTCAAATGAACCCAAGGTAAACCAYCATCATTTCTTCTTGATTTTAAATAATAAGACAACAGATTTGAGTTTATAACAAGACATTCAAATCTGTTGTCTTATTATTTAAAATTTTAACGTTATTTATGCTCGTACGATTATTTGGAAATGTAATTCTTCTTAATTGTATTCCTGTTCATTTTTCCATCCATTTATATTCAGATTCGTATAGCAGTTGTAGATGCTATAGGTCACATGACACATATTATGTCACATGAGAAACTTGATGAGCAGTTACCAAAGTTACTTCCTGGAATTACTAGTTTGTACAAGAAACATACTGACCATTACCTCATCACACAGGTATGCGGCTACTATTGTGATTATGTGAATAGTGTCTGTGCTATTGATGCAGGATA